GCAGGTCAGCCAGTCTGGGTGAGAAGAGCCTCCTCCCCAGGGGAGAGCGGTGGAGGCCATCTCTTCCCAGCAGCTCGCTGCCTCTATTGCCAAAGGGCGGGCTGTGGTCATGTAAGCCAAAGCCTTCCCGATGACACCAGTGCCACAGTCTTTAGTTAACTATGTGGATCCTCCTCTCCCTCCTCAGCCCATACCCCAAGACTGGGAGGATCAAAGAGAACACCATGTGTGCTCCCAGACCCTTCAGCCCCGCTCCCAAATCCCTGTAGCACCTTATGACCCAGCTGGGAGCGCTCTGAGCCATGTCATTTGTGCCCACATGAATAAGGAGCATGGGATAGAATACACGCAGCACAGACCCTGGAGGGGCACTGTGAACTGAGTGCACCCAGGGGTCTAAGAATGGTTCAGATGGGTTCAGGAGGAGGCCAGTGAAGTGAGTGCACACAGAGGGTTGGGGCAGTGTGTGTTAACCCAATGAGGATCTGTTTTCCTTTTTCCCCCCCCACTCTTTTCCTCTACTTGCCTGTTAGAAACACCCGATGGACCAGGACAGCTGTGAGGGGAGGTACAACAGCCACAGAGCAGAGTATTCAGCACCCCTTGAAATTTTCCCCTCTATTTTTCCATGTTTATACTTTCTTATTTTTCTGGTGGTTTTGGAGAGGGAGGGAGGTGGCAGCCTCTACCAGGTAGAGACCCAGGAGAGGGCTGAAACCCAGATGGGCCAGAGGCCCTGATTAAAGTCAGGTGGGCTGGAACCCAACAGGGTTGAAGCCCCAGCCAAGGACAGGAAAAGAATGAGAGAATGGCAGATCCCTGCACTACCCAGTTGGACCAGTAGCCAGGGAAGGAGGATGGGGGGCAATGTACCCTTGGCTAGACTTTGGTTACCCAAATGCAGCCTTCCAAACAACATCCTAACCAGTATCAAGGCATGGCAGGAAGGAGGGAGGAGTCAGATTAGGGGAGCAGGGTAGGCAGATAGGTGCTGCAGTGCCACCTGGGGGCACCACAACCACCCCTGGAAGGTGCCCCTTCACACTGACATGCATGAGGGTGAAACAGAATTTAGCTCATAGTCTTTTAGTGAACTTCAGTTTTGAGAATAGCTTGCTGAGTTTCCAAAAAACTTGGTTTTCACTCCAGCACAAAGGCAAAAATGGAATTTATCTGCCAGAAAACAAAGATCAGAAGAGGTTATAAATCAGACCATGAAGAAATGAGATATTATTCTTATTTTTTTGTGAATATATTTGTGACTTATTTAGCCATTCCACAGGATTTGGCACTTATGAGGTCTGGATTTTCACAAAGTCTGTATCTTTTTAGTGAGTAAGAACTAAAACAAACAGTTTTTGCAAAATTGACCTTTGGCAAACAAACAAACAAAAAACCCCAACAAACCCACAAAAACATACCCTGCTAATTGAATATGAAGGAGGAAGAGAAGGTTTCATGGCCCAATGAACTAAGTAGGGAGCTCAGAGCTTTGGCTGCTTACTAAGGGCCTGTCTATGCCACTTCCACCATGTCCCAGAGAACACTGCTGAAGAACATGCCCTGCCCACCCACTCCATGTGTACCAAACCCAGAGATGAGGATGCACAGTCATTCTGAGAGTACCTACTACTGGCACTCTTGGGCCTGTGTAGATGAAACAGGGGCCCTAAATTGAAGCAGTGGGTTTTTAAAAACACCGCTTCAATTTAGAGCCTTTTAAACCCCCATGTCATGCACACACCCAAATTTACCTGCCTCTCCGGCAGCTCTTCCTTCCCAGGTTGCTGCCAGGCTGCCTGCAGAGCCCCTGAGCTGCACGGAGCCCAGTGCTTCATTCCACAGCTGTAGGGCAGCAAACTAAAACTTGGAGGAGGAGTTTTAGTTTGCTGCGCCCCAAGTCATTTAAGGCGCATTATGCTGCTGAATCTGCTACAGCACCTGGAATTACTGCACAATACACCACAGATGTGTGCAAACACCAACACCATCAAAGCAGTGCAAAACCATTTAACCCACTTTAAAGTGTCGTGCATACGTGCCCCTCGTTTTGTTTACACACAGCTCTTGTGCACTCTGTGCAGAGGCAGCTCAAGGGTGGGTCCTCCCCAGGACATTTTTACAGCCTCACTTCTGGGTCTGGCACATGGGGAACTGGAACAAGTGAGCAAGGTAACACTTCAGTGGTGCTCTGAGGAGTGCCAGAACAGCAGTAGGGACAGGCCTCAAATGGTCTCAGTAACACTTTGTGCTTTACAAACGCTATTTATTATGAGACATTTAACTGTTATTATTCATATTTCACCATCACAGAAACTGAATAATCTTGCTCATCCTGCAGAGTTTAAATGGCCTGCTAAAAATCATCTGGCAAAGGAAGTGTCAGATCATGGATTAGGATACATGACTTCTATTGCTATGCCTAATCCATGGTCAACCCAGCGCAAGGCACTTAAACTTTCTGAGCCTTAGTTTCCTCAATAAAACTCACTTATCTAGTTATTTGTAATTTATTATGTGCATCACAGTAGTGTCTAGAAGTTGCAGCTGAAGTATGAACTCTTAATGTTCATCCACATAAGACATGGGCCCTCCCCTGAAGAGTTTACAGAAGAAAGGAAGTGTTATTATCACTTTCACTTTTATATACACCACAAAAGAGTTTCTCCACATACAGTCTGAACCAATGGTGTATAAACCTTGGGCCCCTCTGCCTTTGTGCCTTTCTCCCCTCTTCCCTCCCCACCTCCCCAAACTGGGCAGCAACTCCTGCTGCATCACACAGGACCCCCAGGTCTCTCCTGAGCCCTCTTTTCCCAGAATTCCTCAGTCCCACAGGCCCCATCACTCTGCCCCGCTCCCAGGAGTGTGGGGGGGGGATAGAGTGGGGGACAGTCAGAGGAAGCTGGAGGTGGGAGGGGAAGCGCCAGTACTCCAGAGACAACAGCAGGAAAGCAAAAAGGGGGAGCAAAGCCTGGAGCAGGAGTTTAACTCCTTCAGGGCTGGATGTGACCAATGGGCCCGCCAGTTGGACAGCCTTGATCTAACATGAATCTATGCGACTATGAATCTATGAAAAACAGATGGGGAAGACTAAATGCTTTTCAACATTTTTAACATGGTCTAAGAATTGGATGCCAACAATCATTAAATATACTTACCAGTTTTAAAAGTAGATTTGTCACTGGGTAAGCTACATCCTGTGTAGTTCACAGCCATAACCCATACACTATAACAGCGATCTGGCTCAAGGTCTTCCAAGATACAGTGACTTTCCTTCACTGTAACTCTGTATTCTTCCACCAAGGCTAGGGACAAGCATACACATACAGGTCATTAGGGAAGTGCCTATCTTTTATAAACAATTCAACTGCTCTAGGGCTATCTTGCATCAACTAATACATAAACAGGAGATAACATTGTCAGGTCTTGCATGCAAAAGTATAATTTTTGTCACAAAAATATGGTTGAGAAGACCTGAGATGAGTTCTGTTGCATGGGGATAAAAAGTGCAGGTTTATTGGCTGGCACTTTTACATTTTATTGCCCTTCATTTCTGGGAGTAGCACAGCACTGCCTTAGCTAATTAACATGGAGATATTTTAGAGCTATTTATATTGTTTTAAATCTTCATCATTCATTCTCAAACAGAACTGCAGAAATCACACAAAGTACTGATTTCCTCTTGCAATACGTTGAGCAGAGCTTGTTAAAAAACATGGATTTTACCCTTGAAAATTTAAACCATATTTTACTTTTGTCAAATTTTCCGGAGAAATTGTAATATTTTGGCAAAATATCAGAAATGAAATATTTTGTGTTCAAAATGGTGCCTCATAGGAATCATGGTTTGGGTGCCTTATGCTCTCTTTCTCTTCTCTGGGCAAGATTTTGGCTTGGACTATTTCTGGCATGATACCGTGCTCTCTTCCCTCTTAGTGATAAGTGGAGTATATTATTATAAGGGGTCATGGTACCACGCAGGAGGTGTTATCAAGCCAGGAGACTGAGGCCACAAAGGACAGCAGTGGCTTCCTAAATAAGGCACCCTAAACAAAATGTTCATGGTGCAATTTGAATCTGAATATTTTGGTTTTTAGCCAATTGGGTTTTTCAATGAAATACTGGCATTTTCTGTGGAAATCAGATATTTTTTGCAGAAAATGTTACTCAGTTGAAAACCCCATTTTCCACTGACAGAATTTTTTTGATCACTCCTAGGGCTGAGTCCCCTCAAATTCCACTAAAGTCAAGGGGATGTCAAAGCATTAAACACTGTGAGGGATTGGACCCCCAATTTTTTTTAGTGCATGTCATTTCAAAGCAGCTGTGAAACCGGGCTTCATTTCTCTCATGTAACCAAATCTCTCAAAAGGAACGGCTTCTTTTATTTTAAAAAATTTAGTTTAAGCAATAGTAATACATTTGAAATGATTTTATTTCTAGATTAATATTTTTAATATACAAACAATGTAATCCCTTTTCTAATGTATATATACAAAGCAAAATCTGTTTAATGCCATCTGCAGCTGTGTGTTGAAAAGTGTATTACTTGTTGTATTACAAGTGGATGCATTTTATACACTTGGGATCCTAATGTTAAACCTCCCTCCCCCCACAAATCTATATCACACCCCTGACTTTCAGAGATGGTAAGTTGAATTTGTATCTTCTAGAGCTATCAATAGGCATGGCATGGTCTCTGAAAATCAGGACCCTTTCATTAAGGCCAAATATAGCTTTATGTGCCATAACGTTAGCACCCAGGTTGATTCCTTTCGCCAAAATACTTAGCTATTATTCCACCTTTTTCTTTTACTTAGTTCATGGTCTCCTCAGTTACCTGTAATACCTTTAGTGCTTAATACTGTCTTCACAATCTCTCAGCTACTGATTCTATGCTCTTTCCCTTCAGATGGCAACCATCCTGTCTTTTCTTTTTGCTGAAATAGTGGGGCTAACAGGCAGGTTCAGTCACATACCACTTTGCTCTTTGTTTGTTTGAGGTTCCTCCATGCAGTAGACCTGGAAGTAGTCAACAATGTCTCCTTCATTCACAGTCCAGTAGACTGCTACGGATGTGCTAGTAGCTGAGTTTGGTTCCTGAGGTTTTAATTTTGGAGTCTGTGGAACTAAAAGAAAAATCTGAGTAAATACTCATACTCCTGTCAGTTGAACTACATCAATTCCTTAACTACAAATAAGGATTCACCAAAATGAATCCAGTTGGCTGGATATTTAGAATAATTGAATGTAGGTAATATCAAGGTGATTTTAGGTCAACAAACTTAGTTGCTGAGATCCTGTTATACCCTTTCAATTTTGCTGGGGTTTCACAGGTGTAAAACCTTAAAAAATTTGGGAACATCAGATTGGCAAGAGGCCTCTCAGCCAATTAAGCCCAGTCCTCTGCATCCACAGATGACCATTTATCCAAAGAGTCTTACAAGCTACCCACTCCAACCTCTTGCATGTCAGCTACAGGTCACATTATGAAATAAATACCCACAAACACCCTACCATGTGCCACAGGCAAAAAACAGGGGAAACATAGCGCACTACCATAAGCCTGTCATTGCAATGGCAGAGAAGTAATTTGGTTTGTATATTATTAGAGGACCCTCAAAAGAGGAATGTCTCACATGCTACGCAGGAAACAAAAACCACCACAGTCCCAGCCAATTTGACTAGGGGAGGAGAGGCATTCTTTCTTTACCCTGAATCTGGTGGTTCGCTTGACCCTAAGCAGAAAATCAAGATCTTTTAATCAAATACCTGAGAAATTTCTAAATACAGGAACACTAGCACAACATTTCCACCATTAGCTGTGGCTAGTGTCCAGTGCTTCAGAGGAAGGAAAAATCTTACAAAAAATCAATAAAACATTAACGACAGGGGAAAATTGCAGCCTGGCCCCTAGACCAGCAGAAGCTTGGTACCATGAGTTTACCAGACCAAAGAGAAACAGTTACCTTTGGATCCTAACACTGGGATTGCAAATACTTGAATCCATATATCACAGCTCTGATTACTGATCCAGAACCCCCTGTCTTACCATACTGTGCATCTCCCATCATATTAATTTGTCAAATTTCATTTGGAGAGATTCAGGTTCTTTGCTCCTATTACTTTGCTCAGATGACCATTCCAAAACTTCATTCCTCTAATAGAAACCTTTTAATTTCCTACCTAAATGTATTCGTAACCAGTTATGAATTAACTTGATCTTGTGCCAGTATTATTCTTTAATTTGTTCAAATATTTTTCCAAGTATCAAAAATATCAGTCCTGCTGAGTCAGCAAATATTTAGGCTACACTTACCCACCTAAGCCTAATGGTAAGAACATTAGGTCTTGGGCTGATCATTGTTCGAAAGGTTGTGCCAACACTAGCACCCAGGGCCAGATCCAAGGTGGGGGCACTGATGCACTTGCACCCCACCTTGATTCCTGCTCCACCCAAAGTTTAAAACAAACTGCTGGGTAGTAGTAGCAACATTTTTATTCAGGCAGTGCTGAGCGCCACTTGACTTCCTGGCTCATTGTAATCTACCTGATCCCTTCTAAACTCTTTATTCCACAGGTGTTAATGATGACCCTCTCTTCTTTTTTATGGTCTTGATGGTCCACCAATCAAGCCCTTTGTTCTGCAGTCTGTTAACTGCTCCTGGTAATGAAGCTCCTATTTTACAGCCCTGCAGATTGTTTTTAAATTATGTTTGTTTTTGCTTCAATCTTAAACTAAATGATATTGCCCTAGGCCCCTAGCATATTAGTAAAGCTTTATTTATTTTTTAACTAGAGAAAATATGTGCTGTTTTTAGAGGTGCATCAATACATTGATCTGATATCAGAGCGGTACTGATATGAAGAAAATTGTCTATATTGGATATCAGCCATATGGAGCCGATATTTTGACCAATAAACGCCCATGGTCTGTGCAGCCGCAATGCAGCATGAAGCAGAGCCAGCAGTGTGGAGAGCTGCCTCCAGCTGGTAAGTCAAAGGGGAGGGGGAAAGGAAGGAGTGTGGGCACATCAGTGCCCTCTGTGGTGAGGGAGGGGGCAGGGGCAGGCACTGCCCAGGCAGGGCTGGGGGTGTGGGACAGAGGTGCAGCTCATGGGGTAGGGGTGGCTCCCGCCACTGCTTGCACCTCAGTAGGGGGAAGGGGGGGGCATGTCCTGCCAGATCTGCGTGGCGCGAGGCAGGTGGCAGCTGTGGGATGGAGCTGGAGCTGGCACTGCATGGGGCCCTTCTCACCAGGGACTGGGCTCAGAGCAGGCTCCGGCAGTGCCGAGAAGAGGCTACAGCCACCCCAAATTCCGCTGCAGCTCTCCGCACTGCCACCTGGCACAGCCCTGGGGCACCAGGAAGGAACTGCCACCTGGCAGTTCCTTTGTTTCTAGTAGGGTCAGGGATTGAAGACCAACACTTTAATTCTACAGGAACCCAGCAGAAAGATTTCCAACTCCCTAAAAGAGCAAATATAGACTATTGTGTCTAACAGAGACAACAGTAAATTTATGGCAGTGGAGTTTTGGATGATCTAATATATTTAAAGGTCAAAATACCATCCAGTCAGTTGAATCTCCCAATGAAATAATTTTAACCAAAATATTGAACTAATCAATCATGCTTAATGCTGTTTGTGCTAGTGGAGTAGGGGGTCTCTCAGACTATAACTTCAGGTTTCTTGTTCCGCCACAACTTCATCCAGCTCAGGACTGATTGCAGAGTCACCTTCTGCATTCTTTTGTTGTATTCTTTTTTAAACACCTGTCACACAGGTTTACAGTCCATGACATGTTGTTCCCCCATGTGCAGGACAATGAAAACTATGTACCTGCTGTGGCAGGTCTTCTTTGGAAACATATCCAGAAATATGCTTCCTGTACAAGTAGCCACAAACTGCCTCTGCAGTAAAAAGCAAACAACCCAATGCCTGACCATTCTCAGGAGAGTCTGTAGACTCTGTCCATTAGAGATCTTATAATAGATCGAAGTCCCCTAAGTGTACACCTTTGCCCTTTGATGATCCAAGAACCAATGTCTTTGGAGGCCAGCAATAACTTTTAACTTTAAAGGTATCAAGAAAATACTGAAACGCAGTAAAATGCCAAAGGCATCATCCCTGCCCTTTCTTCATGAGGCCTATTAATCTTACTGAAGAGAGCGAGTCCATGTGCTCTAGGCTTTTACAATGCTGTGGTGCACTCTGAAGCATAAATTCTGCTGAGGCCTAAAAATTCATCTTACAATTTAAAGCTGGCAGATAAGGAAGCCCTGCTGGAAGAGTATTCTCAGGTCACACTGCATTAGAGACAGGAGCAGGTTGCCTTCTGGAAGATCACATTTCTGCTGAATTCATCTTGCCCGAAACATAGGGGCTATGCTGGGAAACATAAGTGACCACCAAACAGGGAATGAAATACTTGCTTGTAGGGAACAGTACAAAAGTGGAAGTCACAGGAAAAAGGAGCCAGATTCCAGAGACGGAGTGCAGGAGTTTCCCTCCAGCAAAGAGAAGACAGGATGAATAAGTTTCCTTAAAGTGAAGAAAGAATATTTACCACCTCATGAAGGGTCATATCAGGTCTAGAGGGAGAGAAGACAGCAGGAAAGCAGTCCTCTAGTCCACAGGAAGGCTTTGGATTATAGTAGAGGGCCTTACTCCCACTACACTCTGGCTGGACTCCTGGGCTCTGTCTCCAAGGTTCAGAACTCACCCCTTGGGGAGAACAAGAGATTCTTTTGGGACTCTGGTAGTGTGGCAGTGCTTTCTGAGGACCTAGTAGTGTCTTGTAGGGAGATAATCCTTCCAGGAACTAGGAGAATTGTTTCAGTTTTCTAGTGTTGGTGTATTACTAAGGTCCTATGGTCAGCTGGCATTTCCTAACTTCTTTGAAGACATCATAAGGTCCTCTATGAGTGCATAAACTTCAAATATGCATCAAAAAAATTGATTGATGATCTAAACAGAACCATCCTTGATGAGATTGCTGTGTTTTTCCCTCTAAAATTATGGGTTAATGGTAGAAAAAATAGATTTCGCTGCTAAATAACCTGATTGCACAAAACAAAAATATATGCATTTTTCCCTTTTTCTCAGTAAATTTCCATGTTACATGAATTCTATTAAGATGCAAAAAGAAAGCTTTTTTCAGTTATCTTCACAGTAATGATGATGATCCCCTGTGGCATGAATAAGGCAAATGCTGATGCTTGCTGTTTTCCTGTGATTTATACAGAGAGCTATCAGTATAGGAGGATTGCATCTGCCTCTCATTGAGAGAAAAAAAATCCTTTCAGTTGCTAAAAGCAAACCAGATTTTTTTAATATTACAACTAGTCATTGCTAGTGACCAACTTGAGGCAGCACTTTCCTTTTCCTAGTGCTCAGTGGGAAAATTACTGGCAGTTTTCAACAGAGACGTGTGTGAACTAGATTCTTCATTCTACAGGAAATTTATTTAAAATATTTTTTTTTGCTAGAAGTCAAAATGAAAGAGAATTTCAAAAATCCTAAAAAATAAATTTAAAAATACAGTAATTTAAGGCCAGTCAAGACATTTACTTCAAAAAGTCTCACTTTAATTTTTTATCAGACAAATTTTTAAAGAAAATTCCTTTCCAAATGAATTTTTTTTTTAAAGAAATGTCAAAATGGTCATTATCAAAATGTTGGTTTTCCTTCAAAAATAAAATGTAGTCAAAGTAGACACGTCCCCCCAACAATGTCAGTTGTGACAAAAGCAATTTGCCCAACAGGGAAATGTTCCACTTCGAATTTTGCAACAAACTCCAGTTTTCAGCTCTGCCTAAAGTACATCCAGTTTGCCTCCTGAGTAACATTATGACAGCCCTACTGTATCATGGGCCCTATGGGACTTAGGAAGTATGCCAGGTGCTTCCTCCTTTCATAGCCTCCCTGGTAGGACAATTCAGTCAGTGGAGGTGCCCGTTCGTTAACCGTATTTTTATTTAAACAGAAGAGGACAATGACAGTATTTTTCAGAGACAGGCTTTCAGTTTTGGAATTAGTCTTGCTGGCTCTCTGAGAGAGCCCAGTTCAAAAGCATGCTGCAAGGCTGGTTTGTGTCCCCAGGCTTTTTTGGAGAAAGTGGCTGGAGTGAAGGGATGAGGGCAGTGCCATGACACTGATAGTGTAGATGACTGCAGCTGCACAGGGCACAAGGTCACTAATGACACAATCCAAAGAGTGGGTAAGGCTTCTTCAGGTATATCCAGAACAATGAGCAACACAGTCACATCACTGCACTATTCTGTGCAGGCTAATAAGTTGTACTGAGAGATGAGAGTGGGGAGAGGACAAAAGAGGAGCGACATCTTTTGGGAATGTTGTAGAAGGTACAGAAGTCTTACAGCATAGCTCTGGATGAGGGGAAAGGGGTTTTTACTTTGTTTGGTGGAAAGCTCTAGGGAAGGCTGACAGCTTTAAAGGGCAGAATTTTCTGATGTAGTTGAAATAAAACTGGGCACATTTTCTCAGACAAAATATTTTCTTACCACAAAATGCAGATTTGGGTCAACAGAAACATTTTGTGAATTTTGACCCAATTTATCAGATTTCTTCAGTTCTTTGTCTGAAACAATCTAAGCATTTCGTTCCAGCATATTCTAATGTTTCAGTTTTTCAACCTAAAGCAATATTTTATTTGAAAATGTTCAGTTTTACTTAAACAGCTGAAAAAGCAAATTAAATAAAGAAAAGGAAAGTGGGGCTTTGGGTTTGCACAAAATGGATATTTCTGGTAGTATAATCAAATGATGAAATCAGTTATCATACTACACCAGGTAGAAAGCCTTTGGGTGTCCATTTTGCTATTTTCTAGGTTTTTATTAACCATGGGGTACCTGGAACTTTTGTTAGATTTTAATAAACTGAAGGAAATAACTATAGGCGAGGCTCCAGATTCCAGGAAAGCTCATTTTGGTGTCAGCACACTCCCAGAAAAGAGAAGGAAAAGGAAGTCAGCATACCCAAGACTATGGTTAAACTCCCTGCTGTGTTACAGGCTTCCTATATGTTCTCAGGCAAGTCATTTAATTCCTTTATGCCCAAGTTACCTTATGCCCAAGTTATTTTTAACAGTATTGCCTACCCTCACTGAGTGGTCAGAAGGATGATGAGGCACTTAAATGATCTGCTTAGAGCAGTAGAGCAGAGATGAGCAAAGCAAAAATGGGAGAAGAAGAGAGCAAAAAAAGGAGAGTTAAATAGTAAAAGAAAGAGCAAATACTACATAGGGTGATGAGAGAGAAACAGTACATTTTATTTTTACACACTACTATATGGAAAGAAAGGGGAAATAAAAATACTGAAAGGAGGTGGATTTCATGGGATACACCTATTCATCCTCAATGTGTTAATCCAAATTCAGTGATGTTTATTTTTTATTGGAGACAGTGGTTAAGGCAGATCAAAATAGGAAGGGGAGCACACCAGTCCAGAAAATAATGATATTACACTGACTTTTCTGAAAAGATGACACAAAAGGCAAAACAAATATGTTCCTTGTTTCATCTCCCATTTTGCCATTAGCCAGGAGCTGGGGTGGGAAGATAGGACTCTTCTATTGGACTGGAAAAGGTATCAAAGCAAATTTGCCCTAAAAATGTCATAAACACTGCCTCTAAGTTATAGGCAAACTTTTCTCTTAGACTACAAGAGTGTGGATTTGCATTGTTGTGCAGAGCCGTCATTCACAACCTCCTTTATGCAGAGCTGCCTGAAAACACCTAAGTACACTTAGTTCTCTTGAAACAAAATGTATTTTGAAAAGCTGGAGAGAATGGCTGGCAGAATGCTGATGGGGACGAAGCTGAGTGGGTGGCCAGCGATGAAGCACTGTGCTGAACTGTTGGTTTTCAAAGTCTGTTCCATTAAGACAAAAATTGAAGAGAAAGCTTGTAATGGGTGAAGATGATACATGATACACAGTACACAAATAAAGTTTGTCCTCTTCACTTCACTTACTGCTGGCCTGATTTGGATAATCTTTATGGGTATAAATCATACACAAGTATGGCATGCTCTTCAGGTGGAGTGGAGATACAATATACTCCATTATACTGGTCATTCCTGTGAAATAGGCTACCTCCATTTTCTGTAGCCACTGCTCTGTGAGACTGGATGCAGACGGGCTTCCAGCTGCTGTACCCACACTAACACAGTTTCCGTGGCTTATTTCTGCAACCCATGCACAGTTGTGTTCTCCACATAACTCAAGTCAGAAGCCTACTTCCTAAGGACTTTGGAGGTTCAGAAGGACCCCTGAACAACTACTGTGTTTCTCCCCAGAAACAATGGAGCACACTGAGGCTTCCTTGGCACAGAGAAATTTACACAAGTCTTACATTCACTTATGATCCCTATGTGGGATCCAATGCATGATCCTTATTGTATGAGGAATAGGCAGAGGTCTGGGATTTTAGAACAAACAAAACATTTTAGTCCTTTCTCCTGTGCCACCCCTTTCACTGTTCCATAATAAACCAAACACTTGTGCACAATTAGACTTCATTTCAAATTCAGCTCTGATTGCTAATTATACAGGCTTACAACTCTGCAGCTCCTCTTTCAAGCACACACTGTTTTTAGTGTTCTATAAATTCCAAGGCTTTGCCAAAATGTCAGCTTTTGCACGGATGCACTCAGAAGAGATTCTTACCGGGTACAAGGTTTAAGGTCTTCTGATCACTTTGTACTGGACTGTCAGCATAATGTTGAAAAAGTGAAAAAGTGCTGGGCATCTTTTCTAAAGAGAGAGTATTATCCATGGCAGAAAGCAACCTATTTGGAAGAAAACATCCAAATAAATCTGGGTGGTAATACATAGCTTCCAAAGGTCAGAGATGAAAAACATGTGACATGCACTTCTCTAAATATTTCCCAAGGAATTAACACCAGAAGCAAGAAGAGAACTTCCTAAACTTGGATACTTAGAACAATTACACTAAGTAGAGTGCAGAGTTGTTAAAGCTATTTCAGGTTCACCTTAGCAATAAAGATGAACCCTATCCAACTCCACAAATCAATACACTCATGAGCTATGGGAAGGTTTGAAACAGAAGTTGTATATAGGGTCCTTCTGTCTGCAAGGGTATATGCTTGCTGACACTATCCCTTTAAGTATATTTAAAGGCTACATAAAATTACAACTAATCTACAGGAAGCTGACTCCAGAGATTAATGTAAAGCAGCTGGTTGCAAGGAGCAAAAAATAAGAAAAAAGGAAAATGGATTGGACTTAATTAGCATTAAAAACAACATATTTTTAACTTTGAGGCAGAAGCTGTCTCAAAGAAATTAAAAGAGTCTTTCTGCAAAGCAATTGAGTTTTGCTATTTTTTTACCTTGATGCAGTTACTTGTTCACAGTTTTCACAGAACACAGATATTAAAAATACAGTTTTGGAAAGACATAGCATCACATAAATCCTCTTCATCTTTTCAGTCAATCAGAAAAAAATCAATTAGAATAAGTCCACACACAAAACAGAATACACATTAATATGTAAGTTAATGTTAATAAAACAAACATGAAGTAGGGAAATCCCTGAGAAGTATATTTTACATAGGATGTTTTTCAGTAAATAACAAGATGTGACTAATTGGTTAGGCCTTCATATGTGGTAAACTATGTTGATGCATAACACATGATTTTATAGCCCATATCCTGGGCATTAATGAAAAATATGAAAGTAGGTTTGGGGTGTCACTGAAGAACCCCCCCTAACTTATGTATAGAATTTAAAATACAATGTTGCATATGATAAGCCTTTTTATTAACATGCAAAAAAAACCTGAAATGGGCTTCATGTGATTTTCTTTGGTCCAATCGAGCTAAATGCTTAAGTGCATAACTTCAAGCCTGTAAACAGTAACGCTGACTTCTTTACTAATGAATCACATGTGCCAGCATGCATCACGTATCTGCTATTTAAATCAGTTGACAAATTCCTGGCTCCATTTCAGTCACCTGGGCTTTTATTCTTGACATCAGCAAAGCCAGGATTTCAACCAAGAAGAATTTTGTGTATAGAACATCCTGCAGACTCAAGCAGGCTTGTGACCTGCTGTTCACAAACAGGGAAGAATGGTTGGGGAGTGCAGAAGTGGATGGCAACTTGGGCAGCAGCAACTATGAGATGACTGAGTTCAGGTTCCTGAGGAAAGGAAGGAAAGAGAGCAGCAGAGTAAGGGCCCTGGACTTCAGAAAAGCAGATTGACTCACTGAGGGAACTCATGGACAGGATCCCCTGTGAGGCCAGTCTGAGGGGGAAAGAAGTCCACGAGAACTGGCTGTATGTTAAAGAAAGCTTTCTGAGGGCACAGGAGCAAGACATCCCAATGCACAGGAAGACTAGCAAGTAGGGCAAAAGACCAGCTTGGCTTAGCAGAAAACTCTTCAGTGAGCTAAAACACAAAAAGGAAGCTTACAAGAAGTGGAAACAGGACAAACAGCAAGGGAGGAATACAACAGTATTGCTTGGGCATGCAGGAATGATATCAGGAAGGCCAAAGCACAAAGGAATTGTAGCTAGCAAGGGACGTGAAAGGTAACAAGAGGGATTTCTACAAGTATGTCATGAACAAGAGGAAAATCAAGGAAAGTGTGGGTCCCTTACTGAATAGGCGAGGCCACCTAGTGAGAAATTATGTAGAAAAGGCTGAACTACTCAATGCCTTTTTTATCTTGGCCTTCACAGGCAAGGTCAGCTCCCAGACTACTGCACCTGGCAGCACAGTTTGGGGAGGAGGTGGGAAGCCAACAGTGTCAAAAGAACAGATTAGGGACTATTTAGAACAGCTGGATGTGTACAAGTCCATGGGGCCAGATGGGATGCACAGGAGAGTGCTGAGGGAGTTGGCCAATGTGATTACAAAGCTACTGGCCATCATCTTTGAAAACTCATGGCAATCAGAAAAGGTCCCAGATGATTGGAAAAGGGCAAATATAGTTTCCATCTTTAAGAAAATGAAGAATGAGAAACTACTGACCAATCAGCCTCACCTCAGTCCATGAAAAAATCATGGGACAGATCCTCAGGGAATCCATTTCTAAGCACTTGGAGGAGAAGATGGTGATTAGGACCAGTCAGCATGGATTCACTACAGGCAAGTCATGTCTGACCAACCTGACTGCCTTCTATGACACAATGACTGGCTCTGTCAATGCAGAAAGAGTAGCAGATGTGATATACCTTGATTTTAGCCAGGCTTTTGATAGGGTCTTCCACAACATTTTTACAAGCAAGCTAAGAAAGTCAGGTTGGATGAATGGACTGTAAGGTGGATAGAAAACTCACTGGACCATTGCTCTTAAAGGGTAGTAATCAATGGCTTGATGTCTAGCTAGCAGCTGGTATCAAGTGGAATGCCTCAGGGGTTGGTCGTGGGGCCAGTTTTGTTCAACATCTTCATTGACAACATGGAAGATGGGATGGAACGCAGCACTACAGGCTGGGGACCAACTGGCTAAGCAGCAGCTCTGAAGAGAAGGAACTGGGGATTAAAGGGGACAATCAACTGAATATGAACCTGTGAGAGGGGCAGTGAAAGCCCTTCTAGGGGGTCCTGGACCCCCACCCGATGCGCCCTGATACCTACCACAAGAATCCCGATGAGTAGTAGCCAGGTGGAATCGCGGGTGCAGGCTCTGCGATTCTGGAGCTGCCTCCAGCTGCGACTTGGCGAGGGTGGAGCACCTGAGAGCGGTGGGCTGCTCAAATAGCAGTTGGAAAAACAGCTGGGTGGCCGGCGGAGGGAGAAAGAGATGCCATCTGGGAGAGACCAGCTGTCGGGAGGGAGATCGCCCGGCTGGGGACGGAGAAAGAAGGAGACGCCAACCGGGAGATGCTGGCTGCCGGGAGGAAGATCGCCTGGCTGAAGGCGGGAGAGGAGGAGCTGAGTAGCGAGCAGGGGGCTCCAGCCAGGCAGGGAGGAATCCCTAGCCAGGGGAAACCCATGTTCCCTGGGAACAACCCCGTGGCCCCACCAGAGAATCCAGGTACAGTGGCGGGAGGCATTGGCAGGGAGCAGCTCCTCCCCATGTGTGGCAGGTCAGGGAGACAAAAGCAACCCGGTGTGGGAACCACACACTCCACCACTGATCTGGGGAAGATGGAGAGTGACCCCAGGTCAGCCAGGGGTCAGAGGTGGCCAAACTGAGGAGGCAGATCCGGGAGGGGCACGGGACAGCGGCCCAACCCCACAGTCACCCAAAGCACAGGGACGAGTGAGTCCCCCATCCTTTTGCTTAAGTTTCTTTATTTTTGAGCCATCAAGGGGCATTGGGAGATGGGATCCCAGGGGTTCTTCGGTGGAGGCCAAATGTTTGTTTCTGTTGGGTTCATTGGACGCCCTAGCTAGCCCGAAGACAGGGCAGGCTTACATGCCCCAGCTGACCTGAAGCCAAGGAACTGGCTGTGGGGAAGGTGGAACTGGCCTGGAAGGCCCGATCTAGTCCCAAGTGGGTGAGCGGGATGAGAAGGGAGATCATCCAGGAGAAGACCTGCCGAGTCGAGTGTTCATCCGGGTCATGGATGTGGTAAGGGTGAGGTAAAGGGGAGGTTTGGAGCCCCTTGAAGAAAGAACCAGGATCAAGACTTCTTTGCTCTTGGGGGCCACCTAAAGAGAACTGCCTCCCCAACAAAGAACATCGAAGATGTGGCAGGTGAGTAGGAGCAGCACCCATACCATCTAGGTGGCACCCAAGCTTAAGTCTCACCCTGATGTTGCTTGGAGGCAAGGTGCCCATCAAGAAGAGGTTGAAGCCTTATAACACCTACCAGCGACAGAACCAATAGTGTGTCCTTATTGAAAAGCTGGTAAATGGCAGACTGGGCTGCAATAGTAGGAACGCTGCCAGCAGACCTCTTATTTGACACTGGTGAGACCACATCTGGAGTACTGCATCCAGTTTTAGGCTTCCCCCAACAGAATGGAAGTGGACAAATTGTAGAGAGTGCAGCAGAGGGCAACAAAAAAGATTAAGGGGTTGGGGGACATGACTTCTGAGGAGAGGCTGAGGGAACTAGGCTTATCTAGTCTGGAGAAGAGAAGACTGAGAGGAGATTTAATAACCTTCAGCCACCTGAAAGGTTGTCCCAAAGAGGATGGAGCTATCCTGTTCTTAGGGTGACAGATGACAGAACAAGGAGCAACAGTTTCAAGTTGCAGCAAGGGAAGTTTAGGTTAGATAACAAGAAAAACTCTCTCACTAGAAGGGTAGTAAACACTGAAACAGGTTACCTAGAGAGGTTGTGGAATTTTCATCCTTGGAGGTTTTTAAGACTTGGCTAGACAAAGCCTTGGCTG